GAGAATACTGGGGGGGGGGGAATTCTCTACGCGTTTCGTGATCAATTTGCATTCTATGGGATAACTTATTGCTTATTTCTGTGGTGGGGGAAGGCGAAATGATGAAAATAAAATGGGAGAAATGATAAAGTAAATGAATAACTAACGAAAAAAAAAAAAATAGTGAAACGAAAAAATTTACACTCATTTATCTTCATTCATAGGCGCCGACTTATCTAATTTGCATTGTCATTTTTATTTATAATATTCAATGATTATTTATAACAATTGAGTTATCACTACGACGAATTTGTTTCAATTATTTATCAAGCTTATCACTCGCACCCTTCGGGGAAAACGAATCATCAGGCAAATTTATAACAATCTGCAAAGCACACAATTTTCACCTCCACTTATCTTATTATTATTCATTAATTTAAGTTTCATCTCTAAGATACCATAATTAATCTTCAAAATTTTAGGCATAACCAGGGGTGCTTCATAGGCCCTTCGAACTTTTTTTTTTCATTACTCTAATAGATAACAACAGATGCACAAATAAATACATGAACAATTTCACTAGAGCACAACTCGAGAACACATCTGGGGCTAGGGCCTTTGGAATATTTCAATCCCTCCAAAGTAGTATCATTCATCAATAATTTTTAAAAAGTATCAGACTTTTCAGTAAGGAGAGAATGAGGCAAATGGATGGTCTTGAATTTTTTTCTCAATTTACTAGTCCATTGAATTTTCTAATGACATGGGGTTACGCTTTGCAATGAGTCTAGGCCGAGCTCAATTCATGAATTTATTTCTGAGTTATCTGTAACTAAAAAAATCGAAGAATCCATTTTACTCTCCTCTCCGTTGAAGAACCCTCATCCAAGGAATCAAAATACTTTCAATTCCAAGATAATTCATTAATAAGGCTTCAAAGTGTTCGCAATTCAACGATAAATTGTTCATATATTTTCTAGAACCATTTGGGGAGGGTAAATAATATATATGGCGTGCGCGAGCAAGCGTGCAACAAATTTTAGACATATGTAGAAAAAAAAACCTACATATGTTTAGAATTTAATCCCGAGGGGAACCCGAGAAGTCGACGCCTATGACTCAGAATAAAACATGCAAATTATCTTGCTATCACGATTCATTATTTCATCATTTTTATCTTCTCATTGGAAATCCTGTATGTGGTAACACGGGACAAATGTTTTTATGCAGACTCTACATTAGCTAATTTACTTGTAATTCACCTACGCTCTACTTCATAATTAAAAGAACTATGCAAAAATAAATGAATCAGATAAAATAAAAAATAATGGATGAATAAATGAGGATAAATGGTTGAAAAAAAAGGGAGAAAAAAATGGTCAGTGCGTTAAAACTAAACCGCCAACTCATTAAACTTGTCTAACTGTTATCCAACTTTTTTAGGCAACTTTGTGCGCCTCTTACCGAGCTCCTTAACCATGGGTGGCTGATAATTCTCGGGTTGATGAGAGGATTGTATAAGTTTAGCTTGACTCCCAGTACTGCCAGCTGATATTGTTGAAGTTGTACTCAGCGTGAGATGATTTGGTGTTCTACCCAGATTTGTCTTCTTCTCGCTTAAAAATCCCTGTGAGTCCTCCTCACCTTCCGATTTCGTTCCTGAATCCATATCAACTTTTACTTCACCTAAAATAATTCATTAAAGAACACCAAACATACCACAAATACGTATTTCCGTTTTTTCTTTAGTAAAGAGGCGAAAAAAATGAAAATACTGTGAGATTAAAGTGACTCGATCAGTGCAGAAGAGTAGACTGATATGACAATTTTTATATAATCTTAAAAAATATTTTTCATCACTTGTACGTAAAGTGAAATTTTACGCACACTCCGCGTGCGCAAGATCCCACTGTCCACACATTGTTATGAAAAATCGGGTTCGACACTCGTGGGAAAAGTGTTCTTTTACGCAATCGATTCGAAATATCCTAATCAATAGTTGTTGAAAATTTTTTCGCTCAATCACATTGACTTTTGCCGCCTACTATGCCTCGCTCAATTCATTTCTATTTTTGTTTTTATTTATCACTTCTATTGTTTTTTTATTACTTTTTCGTCAAAATAAAACCAGAATTTTTTATTTTTGCAACACCAAAATAGGTCAGTATGCTAGAGGACCACGAATATTTAAATATTCATATTTTTTGTATTGCTTACGAATAGAAGCATTGTATTCGTCAAATCCGAAATTTCCAATTTTTTGTTTTGTCAGGATAACTAATTTTTGGCCTTAGGAGCCAGGAGGTTCGAATATGCGATTGGGAGCACGTCTAAAAAACTTCGCCATGAAACTTGGTTAAATCAACTTTGGGAAAGTTCACTTTTGGTTAATTTAACGTTTATCAAATTGAACTTTCATCAATAAAGCCTTGTTTGTGTATGGAATTCTAGAGTGTAGTTGTTTGTTTTGTTTAGGTTCCTTGTGAAAAGAATAATCGATATTTCTCATTTATTTCACTGAAATGGTATTTCCTGGAGAGGGAGAAATACTCTGCAGAATGTGAGAGGGATTGCTTCGAATTGTTGTCCTTTAAATGACTGATCATTTGTCAAATTTTGTTGCGTTGCGGATATGAATAGTTGTGTTATTTATTTCTTAATGCTTATGAATTTGTGTCAAATCACATGTTATTGAGACTCGATATTGTTTACTCTGGATATTATGTTTGCAAATTTAATATTGTGCCTCGTATTGTTTTTTTGATTTGTTATTTTTCTTCGTGGGTATTCATTGAAGTGTTCTTAATGCTCTATTCTTTTTTTTGCTTCATTTTCCTGGAATTTTTACAATTTTTTTCAAGTTTTTCGAAGTTCAAGTTGTTCAATTTTTTTTTCTTCAAGAATTTTTTTAGTTACTAAATTGTTTCAACAGTTTTTTCGCCGGAGCTTTTTTGACGAAGTTTTTTTAACGAACGTTTTTTAGATATAGACCCGTTTTTTGACGATAAGTGAAAAAATAATTGTTTGAATGAATCCAATGGTGATTAAAAATATTCATCCCAATACCATCTTGACCAAATTCGATTATGAAATTCATTGCATCATCTGTTATTGAAAAAATTTATTTTGAAACCAATTTTCAGGGAAAGATAAATAGTATATTTCATCATTTGTGATGAAAAATGGGCTTCGCCACTCGTGGGAAAGGTGTTCTTTGAGTCTTGGGAGAATAGCACTCGCCTTCGAGTGTTTTTTGAGACGTGGGAGGTGTGTACACTGAGAGAAAAACGAACAAGTATGGAAATAACTCCTGTTTGAGCCAACAAAATCATTAGTTGAAAATTACCAAAAATTGGAAACTTAAATTTGAGTGATTACAAAGCTTCCATTCGGAAGCAAAAACACAGTCAAATAATCAACTTCTTTAGTTGATCGGATCACCTTGAGTTTTTGTCTGTTCCAGTGCAAAAATGATTGATCAATGCCATGAATTGATGAATTTGCCGATGAAAAATCAATGATTTCTATATGATCATGAAATAACTAAATGAAAATGACATGTAAGCACCTGTTGTATCGCTGATGGTTTTACTCCGTGTACGAAATGACGTATGATGATGATGATGATGAAGTGGTGGATCCTCACCCTCTCTGTCCTCCGAGCTCTCGTGCTCCACTGATGCCTTTGATTGACTATGTTTTCTCCTCGAATTTAATGTATTTGACAACATCTGCTGCTTCACAGCCTTCTTCGACAATGTACCAGTATTACCATTACCATTCTGACCCTGACCCTGTAATTGTGACTTATCGAATTTCTCAACGTGTCCCGTCGACATTCTCGGCGCCATCGACATTGGTGGTTGGCTCATATTCTGCTTTGTCGATGGTATACTCATGTTTCTCACTGATTCACGAATAATCTGGCGAATTGTCTTCAGGAATGCATTTCTGAATTCCGTTGCGCTATTGCATGAATAACACGAGAATAATACCACAATTTACCCCTTCGTTACTCGCGTCAACTGCACCGCGCCGGTGAAATTCAATGTTTTAGTATATATTCGTTGTGAAAATGAAGAAATCGAATTTATTGAACTTCATATACTCATAGGTATTTTATAAATATTGATAATGGCTTAAAGAGAATTAAGAGAATGAAGAGTGAAGCATCAATGAATAATTTTTAATCTTCGATTAATTCTTTTTTTTTTACTTTTTAGAATAATCTGATTAAAATCTGTAATTGTTGAAAAATGAGGGGAGGGTTGTGAATTGATTTCCTAGAAAACTGAAAAAACTTCTTGAATTCTTCGGAAAATTTCACAGTTTTCCAGATAACCGTAGATCTTCAAAGTATTTTCTCGAATTATTTGGGAAACCGAAGATTTTTTATGAATTTTGTAGAGTTTAGAATATATGTATGAAAATGTGAGAAGTGAAGAATAATTTGGGAGTTAAATAAATTCAAAAATACTTTTTTTTTCTCATGGTCAACAATTAGGCAATTTAGATATGTTTTGATATAAAGATAACCTTCACACATAAAAAAACGAAAAATATGACGCAGAAAAAATTTTTGGGCATTTGAAGAATTTGAAAATACCGGGGATTTTTTTCAGCGACTAATTCACGTGACTCATTGACCAATCAGAACTGAAGATTAGCGGTCAGGCAGTTTCGAGATATATCGATATAAAACAACTTCACGTTTCTTTCATCTTTAGTAAATAGGAACTTCTGAAATAACTTATTAAAAAATATGGAAAAATTTGTATGCCTCACTGATTTTATCTAAAAAAAAAGCATATTTTACCATTTCTAACCACGGCCAAAGCCCCTGCACTGAGAGAAAAATTTTCTAACATGTAAACCTTATTTACTTGAGAGAAGTCAATCATTTTCAATAGCTTAAATCGCAGAATGTTCGCACTTTACGGACGGTAATAAATTCTCATTCATCGCTATCCTTCCGCGTTAGATCATGAATATATTACACATCGAAACATTCAAAGTGCATAAAAAAAATCATACAAATAATAAATACTTGAAGATTGACGATTCTTCTACGCGATTTGAGTGAATTCATTTGCGACAAAATCATACTAGAGTACAAGAACATTTTATCCCTAGATTGGTCACCCTATGAGGGAAACTCGGAGGAGGAGGAATGTAAGAAGGCTCAAACATGAGAGTTACAAGGGAGGTAAATGTAGGGATTAAACCATCAAGGTGAAGCCATGAGAATCAAATATGTATATTTTTCCTATATATCAGTATAAACTGATGATATATATATATATCAGTCAAAACATCCAACGTTGTATGGGACATTCTCAGAACATATCAATTGTTGATGTTGTATTTTTGTTTTGCTTTCTTTGTCTTCTTCCGCATGCAAAGTTACTATCGATAACATCATGTTTCGATACTTTCTGAGAATTCTAGGAGGTCGTACGAGAAAATACGCGTTTATTTTCACCGATCTGTTTTTTTTCTATGTGAAAAATAATAGACGTAAATGGGAATACGTAGTATACACCACAAATAAGTCGAATAAATTTATTTTTCTTTTACGTATTCGAAACGGTCTCATGAGTTGCTGATTTCATGATTTCATGAGATTTCAACTGATTTAATGCGATTTCAGTCCTGAGTGACACCGTGATTTCACAAATAAATGGCCCCTCCAGGATGAGACCTGTCTCGGGCCATGTGAGTTGAGATGCCTTGGAAAATTCAGCGATTGAAGAATAATTACTTGTCTCAAGTAAATATCTTTCAGAAATTGGAATTTTTTTTTCTCAGTGTGATGAAAGAAAATTCACACCTAGCGAACTAGAAATAAAAAATACGGCGCCGTGCCACGATGCGACTCATCGTTCAATGAAATATTTCATACGGTGTTGTCACATTTGTGGCTGCCGGGAGATCAGCGAGTCCACTCTACGAATGAATTGTGGCAACGGCGCGTTCAGCATACATTACGGCGCGGCGCCGCGATGCGAGTAACCACGTCGGCAGTTTCACGCGAGTAGCGAAGGATTAATCTGCCCTTAAAATCGACGTCTCAATTGTCGAAAATTACCTGTTCGATAAAACATACACCTTCTCAGAGCGTCTCTGTAATTGACTCCTCAGGTGAATCAATTCCCACAGGAAATGTGATTCCATGTCTTTAGCGGAGCTAGCACGAACCTGCACTTCGGTCACGGGTATTAGTACTTGATAACGAATTATTTCAACTTCGCTGGAATTTGTTTTTGTTGAAACACCCTGAAATTCAATTCCCCCCGATATTCAATAAAATTCGATTAAATTCGACTGATGGAGGAGAAAAGGCTGGAAATTGGTTTTTGTTTTTACCATTAATTTCTTCTTCTGCCTCAGACGCTCTTTGCACAGGAATACCACCGCCGATTTGAATACGAAACACATGGCATGTAGCTCGAGACCTTTTTTAATCTTTCCCAGGAAGTCGGAAATATTTAGCCATTCGACGCCACCGTAGTGGAGCAAATCGCCGGGACTCAAATCGATTGGCTGAAAATTGTATGAAGAGAAGAAATAATTGCATTTATTGATTCGTCTCATTCGCATTTCTCAGGAGAAGTTTATCAAGTGCTAATCCCTTTTTATTGGTTTTATCTTCGAATGCCATTACCTGCTTGCAAGATTTCTGATGTTGCCTGAATAAATGATCGAAAATTGCTCCGTACTCCTCATGAATTCTCTGCATTTCATTTATATGCTCAGCAACGTTTTCCATGCCCTTCAATGCCTCTGTAATAATTCAGACCATACGAGAATAGACGGTGAAATGAGCTGTATCGATTCATCAAATTTAATGATGCATATTCAAGGTAATGGGAAACATACCAATCAAATGTTGATGCTCGTCGCTACGCTCGTCCGTGAGATTCTTCAATTGTTGGAGAAGAAGTGGATATTTGAGTATCCTTTGAATGGGCTTTATCAGATAAGACTCTAGAGTTGAAGAGTGCTGCTGTCGGGGGTTCCTCGCTTGGAGGAATTCTTGCAATGCTTGATTTCCCTCATCTTGTTTTATATGAATGGAAAAGTACAAATTTTCAATTATTTTGGAAAAAAATTATTCGAGTGTCGGTTTATCTAAAAATGTGATTAATACTGACTCGGATGTAAAACTTTTTGGGCCTTCGAGTGACTGGCGCAGAACGAGCTATACAACTTGAAGTGATTCACGTAATATAAGAAGGCACTTCCAATGGAAAACAGGACACCCTGGATGATAATTAACATTTGCAATAAAGATGGGTTTCTGATTTTTTTTGTTCCTTTTTTCATTCTATAGAGGAGAGCGTAGTAAAATGAACCGTTTTGCATTGTCAATAACTTCACTGTTAGAAATTTTTTTTAATTTCATGGAAGATATTACAGTAAATCTCATGAGAGTAACATTAAATCGGATTTAGGGAAAAAATGGTTCTGAAATTTCAAGTTTTAAGTAGAATTCACGTGGATTCATGAGTTTTCAGTGGGAGTGAGATGGAAATTTCACAGCATGATTGAATTTTCAGTGGAACATAAATATTCAGAAACAAAATGATATGAATTTTTAATTTTTCTGAATTTTCACACACTAATTGTACTGAAAAATCAAGTATTTTATTGATTTCCAGATCATTTGAACAGAAAATCAATGAAATATTTGATTTTTCAATGACAAGATTTCCTAAAATTTCAGTGGAAGTCGGACACGATAAAAATTTCCAGAATTTGGTACAGAAAATGCAGATGAAAATTATTAACAGTGTTGAGTTGTAGAGTGAAATTCAATTATTTTGTTCACCTTTTGAAAAAGTCTTTTTAAGCTTTGGAACGAGGCAAAATTCCCCCAGCCCCCTCGCCGCCCAAGGATCATCTTGAAAAAAAATGTCCGCGTAGGTAATTTGAATTCACGATGATTATCGAGAAAGAAAATATCTTGAATTCAATACTATAGTATATTGTGTTACAAATACACAAAGTTCAAGGTTGTGTGTAAAGTAAATGCTGCTGAACTGCCCCGTAGGTGAGCTTTTCACGGTGATGAATGATGGTTTTGCCTCGTGTGATTACAACCGGCGTTGCCTTCGGTTCACACTCCCCAAGAATAGTAGATTGTGCACCAAGGGAAGAAAACGGGAAATTCCAACCCGTGTGTGGATTGTCGATAAACACGCAAGTTTTGATCTCCTGTTCATTTTTCTAGGTGCACATACTATTTTTCGTCATAACTCCGCGGTAACGTTCGATTGTTCTTCGAAAATGGAGGGAGGTACGTGGGTTATATCAATCCAAGGATTGTCGAAAATAACATAAATCCGAGGAATTAAATGAGCCACTTACCTTTCATCATTTGGGGAGGAAAATCGAACTTTCCGTGCCGTTGTGACGAAAAATCAATAGTGAAGCGGTAAAACGGTTCAAATGAGTTCAGTTCTTAACTAAATTTTCGAGGAATATCTCCGATTTTAAGGGAGATAACGAAATTTTCATAATAAACTTTTCTCTAGGCCGAATTGCGAGCTACAAAAAAGGTCATGACAAAGATGTTACCATCTCCCTTAGATTTCGAGATATTCATTAAAAACTGGTCAATAGTCAAAATCGACGTCAAAACCGTTTTTCCACTTCGCTACTGATATACGCGAAGCTTCGCCCTTTTCTAGTCTCCAAAAAGTTTCCAACATTCCTCGATTCATTCAGGAGCTGACGAAAGCTTTTAAAAGAGTCATTTTCATGACGAAAAGAAAATACCACGAAACACTAATTTCGAAAAAATTAACTTTTGTCGGTGAGGGTTACTGGACAATTTTCTGCTTTAAAAATCTTCAAATGAGATGCACGGTCAACAAAATGGTATTATTGAGCCTGAAGTTATTACAGTCCAAAACGTCCATTTCACTTCTCTGCTTATTCTATCAAAAACTACCTTAAATTGACTTGAATGCTCAAAGTTGTTAAAATCAGCCTCCATTTCAATGGCATGATCGAGATTCTGTAAAAATTGCCTCTGAAACGTCACAATTTCCTGAATATTGCCGAATAGTGCATTGACCTCAGCATTCGACAGGAATGTTTCCCGCTTCAACGGCTCCAAATAATTCTCCAATAAATTATTTAAATTCTGAAAATTCCAGGGGCAACGTGAATATTGCTGAGCAAAAGCTCCCTAAAAATTAATTAAAATCCAGCCATCTCTACCAACTGACCTTTACGTATGTCCGCTCTGTTTCAATGAGTTCACATATGACTTTTTTAAGCTTTTCAGCATCAGTGAGCTGCCTGCTCGGTGTCAATACTTGCGAGTGTGAGCTCACTACACTTCCAGTTGGACTAGATTTTCTAGTATCACCGGGTGAACGACAAATACCAGTTACTTGTTCAGCAGTCTTGAGAAGATTTTCAATCTCAAATGAATTGGTGCGCGATGTTTGCTTTCCATTATCAAGGTGTGAACCTGGGATTATACACTCTTGCATTATACCTTCTTTGCCTATAGTTTGAAAGAACATCAATGCATCACCTTTAAACATTTTCTTTCGTATTTTATTTTTCTTTAATTCTCATTGCTTTCTTTTCACAATGAAATATACACAGGGGGATGGAGCAGCAAGGACTATTTGTTGTCCGCTCCTCATTATCATTAATTCAAAAAAAGTAACTGAAGGGGTTGAGGTGACTAATGAGATCGTTACAAAGTGCAAGGCAAAATGAAAAAAACTTTCGAGGAGATGAGATGGAGGAGAAGAAATGAGCAATGGGATGGGAATGAAAATACAGAGCTAAATTTTGCTGATAAATTACTCACTACGTCCTGGCGCTGGTACAATGAGTCCAGATATCATTTCTTCGCTTATTACGGGTGGATCTGTTGGTGGAGGTGGGCATACCAGGCTATCTATATCATCCATTACCCTCATCAGATCTGGAGGTTCTGTTCTTGATGAGCGCATCATCATACATAAAGCAAGCTCTTCCTGAAGGACACTCTCGAGATACATCATATCGAGATCACTAACGATAGCACCGTTTATCACCATAATCTCGTCTCCCTTTATGATACCTAATACAATAACAATCACATTATTGAAGAAACGATAGATGAGCAGGTAAAAAAAGTCGATGCTGGCGATTTTCGTCTCAATTTTTTTTCTGAAAAGATGGCGATTAGACACAATTTTTGAAAAAAGAACAACTGAAAAATATGGATAATGGAGGGAATTATAGTTCTTTTTTAATTGTTAGTTTTTGTCCAAAAAAATTGGCCCCAATATCTTGCAGGATCAAACGATCAAATCGCCCTTTCGTACACTTAAAGAACATGAAAAACCCTTAAAAATGAGATGTCATATATAACATTATCTTCAATTTCACGGAGTTTATGCGAGAAAACGTTTTATTTAGCCGTTAATTACTCAAAAAGCTATCTTTTAAAAAATCTGCAATTTTCATAAAAAATTGTGAATAAAACGTCAAGAATTTTTACGCCAATTAGAGTTTGTCTTTCACCGTAGTTCGGCGGCTACTAATTTTTTCATTGAGACGAATCTTGAAAATGACCGGTAATCATTATTATTCATGCAATTATCGCCCAAATAAGTGACTGTTCAATTAAATATTAGCAAATGGTGGAGATTAAACTCATTATATCTTTTATTATTCATCTTCAGTATGATTTTTTTGAGTGAAAAATTGAAAAAATTTCTCTTCTCGTATGCCCATTCGGGTCTTTACGATTTGTTCCCTTCCCACCCCCCAACCCCCTGTACCGTATTCGCCGAAGGACAAGGGAAAACCTCATTTTTGAGGGAAAAACCTGCCCAGGTACAGTCGTCTCTTGCAAGACTCCCACTCGACAATGAAACCGTGAGATTTAGAGTGTCACAAATTTTGCCCCCCCCCCCCCCCCCCCCCCCCCCCCCCCCCCCCCCCCCCCCCCCCCCCCCCCCCCCCCCCCCCCCCCCCCCCCCCCCCCCCNCCCCCCCCCCCAGCCGGGAATCGAACCCGGGTCTCCCGCATGCCAATCCCACACTTTAATCACACAGCCACCGCCGTCGGTGAGTGAAAGATTATTATTTCTCTAATTATACAATGAGAATACATTTTTCGAAAAGCTTTTTTTCGTTGGTAATCAAGAATTTAATTGAATTGATACAATTCTAATTATTCAATTGAATGTTAGTTCATTTGAGGAATAATTGTATGAATAATAGCGATTTTCGATGATTTTCAATACTTGTTCCACTGAAAAAAATTATATCCGGCGAACTACTGCAGAAGACAAACTCTAATTGACACCAAAATTCTTGACATTTTATTGACAATTTTTGGTGAAAATTTCAGATTTTTTTTTAAATTGCTTTTTTTTAATTAACGATATAAAAAAATGATTTCTCATTTGATAGCTTGAAACCCCGCAGAAATATTGAGGCCAATTTGGACAAATAATTTTTGTTTTTACAAAAATTTGCCATTTTCAAAAAATCATAACTGCCTCAATCATCAATATTTTTCAATTTTTCTTTTTCAAAAATCGTTGTCTAATCGCCATCTTTTCAGAAAGAAATGGAGACAAAAATCCGCAGCATCGACTTTTTTGGCCTGCTGATTTGGCGTAAATTTTGATTCATATCTCAGATATGAATTAAGTGATTGACATCCCCTTCCCTTGCCCATAATCAACCGAATGTAAATATTCTCGTGACGAGAAATAAATGTGCATCAAAGTGAGTCCAAAGTCGTGTTCACATCAACCCAATCCCTTTATCTTTACTACTTCATTATACCGCTAAGTACGACCCTGAGGTGCATGAGAGATATTTTTTTTTATTATCAATAGACCATCGGAGCGCGCATAGCGCAACCTTTGCTTGACCATCGATGAGTAAACGATGAGAAATCAATAGATTCTAAAATACCGTTTTCTTCATTATTTTCTATCTAGAATACGCGCTCCGTCCTTGTAAATCCACGACTCCGACATTTTTTTTTCATTTTATCCTTCGTGAATTATTGTTATTTTTAAACTATGTACGCGAGCCTGAGTCTTCTTCCAGAGTTTTGGTCAGGAAGGGAAAAGAAATATCTGTGGAAATGTTTTTATTTTTCCATTCCTTCTATTGCTTGGGTCTTTAAATATTTACCATTCTGCATCGCCACACTTTTATCCTCAACCCGGCTGACGTAACAGCACAACTCATCCTGTCGATCTGAGTTCTCAATCAGTTCTGCCTCAACGGAGAAGCCCCACATCTGGTCAAGGGTATTACGCTGTAGTTCCACTTGATAAAGTATTTTAGCGCATACCTCCACCATCTCGTGGGTGTGCAACTGAAATTATTTCGACGATATTTTGTATTTGACAATCTGTCAGTGGCAAGTTGTCTCGCATTTACTTACATAAGTCTCTATTCCATCATTTCTATGAGGCACAAAATAATTATGATCCTCCATATCACGACGTTTCTTCACTCTGACAAAGTGCTCCATTGGATTGAGGCCCTTTCTACTACATGCACTCGCTAAGAATTCTTCTACTGTCATACTTTCACGTAAATATACGGAAACAAGCTGAAAGGGAGAGAATGAACATTTAATTCATTTTATTTATATGAATTGGCTAAGAATCGATGAGGAGGGGTCGTGTTTACAGATGTGAGTGAGAAAATTAACGGTCAAAGGACCGTCAATGCCCACCGTCACGACCGGTAATTATCGCGCCGAGAATCTGACCATATCTGGTCAGAAAAAAATGGCAATTGGCCGTAAGCATGAAATGACAGAATAACTTTTGACCCTCAATTTTCGAGTACTAGTTCAACGACTTCGACACTATTAGAAATTTTTAGCTGAAATTTCCAGTACACTTTTCCAATATTTTTATCCCATTCAAGTTCCACTGAAATTTCAAGGAATTTCCGAACTGAAAACTCTGAATTTCGGGAAAAAATCAATGACTACTGTAAATTTTAGTTCAATTATTCCCTGAAAATTAATAGAAAACTGGAAAAATTGCGATAAACATATTCTTGAATTTTCAATTATTTTAAAATTCAGGGTAATTTGGCACTGAATGTTGATGTTTTCATTGACAATTCAAATAACTTGAAGAATTCTCGTCTTCATGCTTCTCAAAATTTTGGAGTTTTGCTAAATTTTCAGTGAAATCTGAAATTTCTTAATTTTTCCCCTTAAATTCCATTCCGTAACACTGTCCTGAAAATTACTAGTCAACTGTCCATGAAATTTCATTTTTTTCAACTGTATCACCGAGAACGGAAACATTAATAATAACTAAAAAACAAAATACTGAATGATAATAATTAATGGATAAAATAATAAATGATAATTCAATTCTATTAAAAAGTTTTTCGATCGAACCCTTAAAACATGACCCAGAAGATGAGCGAAAGGGAAAATGACGGTAATTCCACATCCCTAGTCGGTTGCTGTATAGTTATAAAAGGCTTTCAATATTTTATTGATTTTATTTATTTAAATTAGTTGAGAATGAACGAGGGGTCGTGTTGATTTATAGTTACGGAGGGTTTTCATACGCTGATAGTTCGATGGTAAATAAATCACACCTCGTAATTAATGCTACAATTGAATCGAAGTCTAATTAATGCCTACAGTGCACCAAACGTGCGTGATACGGGCTGAAGGAAGCAATGTTACCAAAGGGGCTTCGGCATCGATTACCTCGGTGTTATCAGTGAAGTTTGTATTGCAGTCTATTTCATAAAGCACAGACGGAATTTGTCAGACCCTTGTTCCATAAATAAGGTGCAAGGCTATCACCACTGATGTTTTTCTCGCTGTGTCGTATCATGCGATCATGCATCTCTCATGATTTGGCCTCTTTCTAGTATTCCGTCTATGAAATTTTTAACTACTCTCCAGGTTTATCATTCGTGAAACAGTGTTTGATGAGAAAAATTCTCTCAACGTCTTTAATAATGGGATTCAAGTTAATTTCTCCATTTTTGCGTGAATTTTTTATTTCACCATTCATCTCTCGCGTCTCTTCGTGTGTCCACGAGCGTCAGAAGCGCACCACTATCATCACGGAATTTTTGCTGTATTTTATGGGACGGGAGCGTTCATCTCATACCACTCAATTTCCTCGTATTTCTTTCCAACTCATTTTCAACAATTCAATTAAAAAAATACTCCAGAAGTGGTTAATAATGAACTCCGAGTTAATCTGCCTATTTTCTGAACCCACGTTCATTTCATCATTTATTATGTCTTCGTGTGTACGCACGAAAAAAATTAATAGAAAAACCTAGCGAATTTGCTAGACAATTCTGTTGGATTTCTATTCGTTTTTGGCCGATTTTATTAAAATGTTTGATAGAAAATATTCTGTAGAAAAATTCAATAAAATTCCATTTTTCTATACAACTCATTTTATTGCAATATTTTCTACAAAATTTCCCCGGTGCAAATTTTCCAAGTTTTTTTGTTTTATGTTCTTGATGAAAAGAAAAGAACAATAAAATGAAAAAAATTTTTGGAAAATTGAGCCGAGGAAATTCTATAGAAAATATCTCAGTAGAATAAATTGCGTCGAAAAATCTAATTCTATTGACTTGTTCTAAGAATATTTTCTATTGAACATTTCATTAGAATCGGCCAAAAACTAATATAACTTTCAATAGAAATCCAATAGAATTGTCCAGCGAATTCGCTAGAATTTTTTATTAAATTTTTTCATGCGTGTGCACTCTACACTCAATGAGATTCTTCAATTGCCTCCCTTTGATTGAAAGGAATGGATGAGTTGATCAAACTCATTAACCAAACAAGGCAATTTAACATCAATATCACTAGTTTGTTTGCCGCTCCTCTGTGACGTGATCATACACGTCATATAATTAAGTCTCTTCACATCTCTAACCATCCTTGACGCTTAAAAAACTTTATAATAATCGAATTCGAGTTGTTCCAAAATCATTATTCATTTTATTAACTTCTCAATCCGAAGGAAGTTATTGTAATGACTCTGAAAATCGAATGTGGAATTTCCATGATTTCTCCACATTTCTTGGCCCCTAGAATCATCCTCATACGTTTTTGAAGACATGTCTGTATGTGTGTGTGTATGTATGTACGTATGTGATCAAAATTTTGTCGAACGATTTCGTCTGAAGGAATGAACCGATTCAAAAAAAAATTTTTTCCGTACTGACCTTCACTTTTCCTCGTCCGAGGATTGGTATTGGTCCTTCCCCAATCTCGTAAAAGTGACAATCACTACGGAAATACAATAGAGGCTTCGTATAAGAACCTTAGGGACAATAGGAGAGTGGAATTCCGGGAACCCCTAGACCCCCGCTACGCGCACCCATAGAGAGGAGAAAAATAGGGATCAGCGGGTTTCCAATAACATACCTCGCTGGTTGCGCTCGAATTCAATGAAATAGTCATTTTTACTGAATGAATATCGATATAACTAATCAATTTATCAATTTATTTATGTGTTTAATACTTTGAATTTGTATCGTCCACGTTCCCTTTTCTCTCTAAACATAACTCCGCTAGATAGAATGGCAGCTGATGTTGGGGGATTGTTGTCAGTCGAGAATAATCACAGACGAAAAATTATGATTTTTCGATGGGAAAAGTGAAAAAAAAATCGATGTATATTTTCATTACTTGAAAAAAAAGTAGTGTGACACCCCCTTATGGGGCTGCCCACGAGACTAAACCGAGACTAAACTTTGGAGAGACCGTCTCGCTCCGAAAAAACCTGAAACTTTTTGGGACTGTCTTAGTCGCGAAAGGCATCGTATCGCCTCCTCCAGTGATGACCACAAAAAAAATTATCTCGTCACAGTCTCCACTTTTTCGGGTTTTTTAGGTTCAAAGTCTCGGTTTGAGAGTCTCGGTCTCGGTCTCAAACGAATAAGAATGAGAAAAAGTGCAGATTGTGACGAGATAATTTTTTTTGTGGTCATCACTGGAAGAGACGATACGATGCCTTTCCCGACTAAAGCAGTCCCAAAAAGTTTCATGTTTTTTTGGAGCGACACGGTCCCTCCAACGTGAGGTCTCGGTTTAGTCTCGTGGGCAGCCCTACCCCCTTACGGTCATTAGACCCTCATGATCACTTCGTTCGTCCCTCCCGTCTGCCTCTTAACACCGTTTGATCCTTATAACTACTCTCTTCCCGTTGAAAAATGACTGGGGCCATAGGTATCTTATAAGAAGCCCACGAAACATAAACATTCGGGAGGCGATAAAAGTGCCGAGAGTGGGGGTAGGCCTCGAGCGCTTGGAGTGCGAGGTATCTTATAGAGAGGTATCTTATACGAAGCCTCTACTGTAGCTATTTTCGTCACAAGTATGGTTGCATTCCTCGGCTTTGCCTCGGCCTGCAACCCTCACACTCGTCAGAAAAGTTTTTCGACCGAGTAACGAACATAATTTTTCTTCACAATGTCCGTAAATGGCGTTTGACGGACACGAAGTGTCCGTACAACAGTGAGATGAAAAATATCGTTCACTACAGAAATATCGCCAACTCCACGCGAGTAAACAACCCCACGGCACTCGTCCTAAAATATACTATTTCAATCGATGCGTGTTAATGTGACTTAGAAGTGATTACGTTATGAAAGCGATCGGCTATCGCTTATCGTTATGTAGTGAGCGTCTTTGTGGCACATTTGTGAAAAAATCGAAAAAAATGAGTTTTCTTTGAAAATTCAACAATTTTCCCGAGAATAATGATAGGTTTTGATTTTTTTAGTACAGTGAGAGAAAAACAAACACGTCAAACAAATCTTGTTTGGACCAACAACATCGCTAGTTGAAAATTGCCAAAGAAGAATTTGTTTTGTTCGAATTTGAAAGTCTCAAACATGAATAATTGTTCTGCTTTCGACGGCAATTAAATATGTGGCTCAAGAGGCGGATAATTCACACGAGACGGTGCCCTTTCAGGATGAAAATATCTCATATAGAGGGAAATTTATCAACAAATATTTTATCCCTAAGTTACAAGATTGCTATCATATCATTATTATTGTTTCATTTAAGGGTTCATTTCTTGTCTGTGATTATTAGACAGCCAAAACGAAAAACTAATATCCCTTGTTTCGTATAAAACAATGATTTTCGGGAGCAAAATACGTATGGGAGTATCAAATAACGAAGGAGTAATGTGGCATTTCTTGCGTGTACAGAGAATGCAATTTTTTTTTAAGGATGTTCGACACCCTTTTAGCCAAAATTGACGTTGTTTTCATTTTTCTGGCAAATTATCGATGGGAGTGACGTGAAAAAATATAACGATTTTGTGGTTTGTCATTCTTTAATGGCTCACGAAGTTGCGTAGTGGTGCGATAATTTTCATGCGTTTTTTCTACAGTTTTGTGATTCTTTTTAAAAGTTTAGAGAAAACGCAGGAAAATGTTCGCACCACCTTAAAATTTCGTCAGTCATTAAATAATGACAAAACGCAAAAACGGTATATTTTTTCACGTCAATTCCATCATAAGTTGGCCAGAAAAATTTAAAAAACGTGAATTTTGGCAGAAAGGGTGTAGAACATCCTTAACTAGTAAATCTATTTTTGCGAGAAAAATTTTTCATTCCGGTGCACTCTTTGCATGTTTGGCACAAAAAAACCCTTTTTTGATCATTTTCAAAAAACTATTTTCTTGGCACAAGTAAGACTTGTTTGAGAACTTTGTCGTTTTTTTCTCAGTGTACGGTCAATGCATCTACAGATAATTCGATTTCGATTGGATTCTGATCAAAATCGCCTCAGCCGTTTTCGTGTTATCCGGATGGAAATGTCAAAATTTGCGTTTTTTCTTTCTACTAAGCAGCAAAAATGGGAATTCTTCGGGAAGTTATTGGTTCGACCACTAATGAGTCACGTCCACTTCAACTCACCCGCAATGGAAGCGAGGGACCAACAACCCACTCGAATTTTCTTTTATCATTTGCTTCGTCGGCACACAATGGTCACTGACCATTCCCTCCTTTAATCACTTCTCTTTGATTAAAAGTAATGAGTAGATGAGTTGATCAAACTTACTTGATTCTCGGGTACAGAAACTTTGACACTCTTCTCGTCGTCCCTTGAGGAGATCTGGAGTGATCTACGACTGGAGCCGCTGTTGGATCTCGACAAGAGTGGTGGCCTCCTCTTTGTGGCACCACGACCGGCCAGCAAATTGTTGAGCAAGGACGGGCTACGTGCACAGATGAATGCGTGGAAAGATGATACCGTGAATACACCGAGTTTGTTTAGGGTCTGCTTCGTAGCACGAGACACGTGGGTCAACAGACTCTGTGAAAAAGCATTCACGAGATTCATGATCAGAGGGATTTTCGTGGTGATATGTGGGCAGGGCTTTAAAAATTTCCCAGCAGAAGGAAAAATCAATATTCAGTGATAAAATCGTAATTTGAATTCCTAGCTATTCGATGAATTCATTTCCATTGTACCTTGGGATTTGGCAATTCACCACTCTGCAAACTCGCCATGTAACAGCGTAGCCGGAATTGTTCGCAGTGCAGCCGTTCAAGATTTTCCTCCCACTGGACAATCTGATTATTAATTTCCTGTTTTGTTTCGACATCGGAAACAACGGACTGCTGGAGATCAGCCATGTGTTTCAATTTGTAATCCTGAAAGGATTTTTGAAGAATCAACAAGAGATAAAACTTTGACATCTTTCCCCAAAATCGATTGGGATTTTACAACGGATTTATTGACTAACCGATTCAATAGCCTTTTCCAAACGGAATATCTCCTCCTGGAGAAGATGGAGGGTACCGGTTTTGCCACGATGTCTCGCGAATGCAGCGGCACACGCCGAGTGAATACTATTCACCCAATTCTCAAGTTCAACTTGACATGGCGCCTGGGAGGAGCGAAAAAAAAGGGGGAATGAAAACACAATGGTCCTTATAAGCAACGCAGATTCGATGGTTCATTGTCCCCACCCTGCCATCGTCAATAAGCTCTCAGTGAGAGAGTCTGTCGAGATGGAATGGCGAGTGGAAGAGAAGAAAGACCACCTAGAGTGGTAATGCTTTTCATAGTTCACTCAGAAATAAAGGGAAAAACCGCGGAAAAAAAACTCCAGAAAAAAGGGAAAATTGTAGTTCAGAGGGGGAGGGCATTTTCTTTGAACTATGAAAAGTGGTCTCTGCAAAGTATTCGAAGAAAATTGCACTATAGCTTCACTATTCCCGTTGAAATAAATGACCAAGGGAAAAACTCAATTATTTCCACGCCTGCCATTCACTTACTTGGAAGAGGTATGCATCCCCAAAAGCTGTACTCAGGCAGAATATGTGGTCCCTCTTGGGATGTTCGGGAATTGGTTGCATGATAGCACCATCGACAATAATGAGGTGCTTCGGTGCTGTCTCAACTGCTCTGATCTCGTGTGAATCACAGGGATAGAAGAGAAGTGTTGTACCCTTCAGACACACCCAGTAGCCCTTCCAACCCCGTTTTCGGGCCAATTCAATTTGATGCTTTTTACGTAGCAACCATTTCTTCACACTCAGAAACCTGAGACCCAGAAAATTGTGTGACGATTACTTCTACGATGTAAAATACAGTTTCGAATGTTTTTGCTTCCGAATGGAAGCCTTGTATTCGACCGATTTTTCGATTTTCTAATTTTGATTGCAAATGGTCTAGGATGTGATGAAACGTAAAAAAACGATGTTTTTAAGGTCATGTTTGTATGTATATATCCGACAACTTGGGTTTTTGGTGATTAATTTTTAGAAAAATCAACATAAATGCGATGATATTTGTAGATAAAAATCTGAAATTTTGACTCATTGTAGCTATTATTGAGTTCAACTTTGGTGCGTTGTTTCAGCCCGATCGGTCCAGTAGTTTCTGAGATATAACAACTTATTCAAATTTCGTTTTTCCTCAATATCTCAAAAATTACTGCACCGATTTCAATTTTTCTTCTTTCAAAATGCTCGTCTTGATGTACCCTTTAATAAAAAGTTTGGAAATATTGCTGTTTTCCCATTTTTTTGCTCGTATAATACTAAAGGTTGGTATTTTGGAGGGGCGCAATCGGCCGAGCGATTCCTGAAATATGAAACTTTTGTGTAAATATATTTCTTCAAATATTTCATGAACTACCTGACAGATTACAATTCAGTAGCGAAGTGGCAAAACGGTTTAAGTCGACTCATCTCCCAATTGAGTTTTTGAGGAATATTTCCGAATCTAAGGGAGATAGCGAAATTTTTGTAATTACATTTGTTGTAGCACTCAATCGGCTGTACAAAAAAGGTTATACAAAAATTTTGCTATCTCCCTTAGATTCCGAGATATTCATTAAAAACTGGTCAATAGTCAAAATTGACTTGTACCGTTTTACCACTTTGCTACTGAATTTTTTTCTCCAAAATAGTCGTCTCGATGGCTTATATCTAGATCAATCAAAATATGTATATATATCCGTTCATACAAAGTTTCCGAGATATTCCTGCATTTTCGTTTTTAATATGTTTTTATTCTTTTATGCACAATGTTTTGAGAGAAAATGAAAACAGCAAGTTGAAATTTGGTATCATTATACCTCTTACAATATTGAAGGTTGGTATTCTGGATGGGCTCAACCGGCCGAGTAGTTTCAGAAATATTGAATCTTTTGCATAAATCTGTTTCATTAAAAGGTTGAATACAGAGATGCAAATGCGTCACATGATCCGTCATATGACGGTCACATGACGAGGCGTTTATGACTGCTGTCACAATTCCCCCTCCCCTTCTGTGACCGTCACAACTTGTCACGAAAAAATGACAGTCATTTTTCATCTATATAGATGAAACTTTATTTTTTTCTCGGTCAATTTTCAGTTGAATTCCTTTTGTATTGGCCTAATCCGCATTTTGAAATGGAAATCACGTTTTTTTCCATCCATATAGATGAAACTATTTTGTTTTATTCATGACCGTCACAAATTGGAAATTAGTCATGACCGTCATTATGCAACTATATAGATGGTTTGACAACAATTTGGTTACAAATGATTTGTGACAATCATTTGTAGTTGGTAAATTTGTGCGTCACATGACCGTCATTTTTTGGTCATATGACGCGATCTAAAAAATGACGGTCATTTTGCATCTCCAGTTGAATATCTTCCTGTAGACACCCTGTAGCATGTGGTTATGCCTGTCGTAACCCTGTCACAAGGACAGTGGAATTGGTAGAAAAAAAAAGAAATGGACTAATAACGAAAAAAGTAACGATCACATGCCTCCTGTCGGATAGGCTCGAACCCCTGCTTGTTTTAATCCCACTTACCCAGCTTTACGTACTGCCCCAGTGCAATTGAAAGATGCTGCAGCAGTGCCAGTCTGCTTGGCCCTGTATGGTGAATTCATGACACTCTCACCGTCATCATCGTCGCTCACTGCTGTCGTCAATGACATCCGATCGTCATCCGACATCTGTCAAAACACAAAGGAAAGACAAAAAAAAACCTGTAGAGTAATTTCAGCTCTTCGAATGGAGTAGTTCACTAATAATGTACCTTCTTTGGACCCGTAAGCCCATTAATGACCCTAATCTCAGGATCGAAACAAATGACCTTTTTCAAAAATTCAGCATTGCAATCATCCGCCGTCAAGTGCGGATGATAATGACAATAACAGCTCTCCTTGAGTAGCTTCATATTCTTCTTCGAGGATCCGTTCATCTTGAACATTATTCCCTTCTTAGCCTGACTGAGACCATCAATATACCGATGTGCCCATGCACTCAACGCACCATTTATTATCTTCAATATCTTACTGTAATATCCCTCACTATCAATCTGATTGACTTTCTCCTCCACACTCTTGCAATTGAACCAGTAAAATTTCTTCGTATCATTGATATTGATAACACTTATTGTGTGACGTTTGCACAGGCAAAAGTAATTCTTGCACTGTCGTTTGTGGAGTGTTTTAAGATCCGTATATCCCTCGGAAAGACTACTGCCACTTGCACTCAGCAGATCTGGAAAACTAGACGCACCACCCAATCGCCATCCCTGATCTACCATACTTTGCCAAGACGAGACGTTTTGTAAAAAAAAAAACCAGCCTCCCCAATTGGAGATCCAAGAGAAGAGAGTGGGGAAAAATCGCCACTCACGTTAAAAACCAGGTGGACTCTGTGGACGAGCCATTATCACCAATGTATACATTCGTCTCGTTATATTGTCGACTTTTATCTCAGTCGTTGCTCCAAATTTTAGCAATTGTCTTCGATGACACTGGATGGATTCTTCGTCTCTCTGGGTTTTCATTATTGTCCTCGAGTCACTTGGCAACTTGGGTGTATGTGTGTCTCGGTTGATGATCGAAGGGAAAACGAACAACTGTCATATACATTATTTTTCTGATGTAGATATACTCTCTATGTACATTTATACACTGAATTGAATTGAAAATAGGCGCTGATTTGTACCCTGTAATCGCACAAAGAGTCGACGCAAGATTGTCCTGATTCAGGATGAAATCGGGCCCCCAAATTAATTCACCCTCCCTCGGTTTTGACAGACGTGTCCCTTCCTTTCTCTGATCACTCGAGAATTATGGACACAATCCCTCGGGGGACAGCTGGACGAATTAGCAGTGGGGATTCTTTTTTCTTTTTTAATGACTTTCTTTCAACCTTCACTCTCCATTGTTTATGGTGGGGTAATTTTGAAATAGTAGAACTGTTGGGATCAATTCCCACTGTACATTTCAAGTGCCTCTCGCATGATCAGACTCACAAGCGGTGAAAACTCTTTGATGGCAAATTTCAAGCCACAAATGACGAGTGTATACGTTACGTAAAGAGCAAATATCTTATAAGCTCTAAGCATCTTACAGTTTTCCCCCAATTATCTCGATGACTTTATTCGATACTTTGATTATTCTCTAATATTCTCTCAAATTACTCCATAATTTTATTATATCTCCAAAGTTAAAATTTTTCTATTATTTTGATCAATCGGTAAAGCTTCTGTATCCGTAATTGTATATAGAATATTTCTCTTGAATATCGAAACAGACTGTCCATATAAAAATAATTACACTCTTTTTAAAATGTTTTATTCCCTCTAATACTCTGTCTCAGTTTGTTATTTGTATTAATTATCTACTTCCCTTTCAACATCACCACCTCTAGTGAATAATACAATATTGCATATTAAGTGGATACAACAACTAACGGCTCATGAGTGTCAGTTTAACAAACTCCACAAGTGTTGAACCATGTCGATGTGCCAGATGAGGGGAAAATGGCACGTTATAGTATGATAGGAAGTTGTTGGCTAATAGGTGAAACGAGCCAATCGTTCTCTAGCCGGATGTTAGGGCGTTAAGTTCAAACAATCAACACATCCAATTTCTAATTTATCAACTATGAATTGTGGTCTATTCTCCTTGATAATGGCTTTTTTCACCAGCGTCTCTCTTCAATATCCAGGTACTAGGGCAATTTTATTACTTGCGTAGTTATTGAAAATGACAACCGCAATTTTGTAACATGGTTCATCTCCTCTCGTCCAATCTCCTCCGCATTATCATAAAATTAAACATTTATCTTCATATTTTGATTCAATAAGCGCCAATAGTGATGTCAACATATGGATAAAAGTGAATCACTCCGATAAATTCAAAACTCTCTCATCTAAACTTGTAAATATTTTTGTATCATCATTAATCACGATACTCTGTTTAATCAATCACACTAGTCATACATCACAGTAAACGTTTAAAATTTTATATCTCTATATATCATCGAATGTGCGCACAAATAATCTCAAGTCGGTGCATAGAGAGTGGTGTGGCTGTTGGTGCATGAACCATGTAAATCCTGCATCAAAGTATTTCAGTGTGTTGGTTGTTCGTCAACAAGAAACATGAGCGTTCCAATGCATCACTCACGAGAGCCAAACGGCGACTCACTGAGCCGCTCATTGGCTTTCATAGTTGATAAATTACTTCATTTATCCAGTCTCCTTGGTGTCACAAAAGGAAGTATTTCTTCACCTTCCAACTGTCTCTCTCCCCCTTCAACTCACCTATTAAATCTCCGTGTCTGACTAAATTAAATTCCCTACTACTTTAACCGTACTGTCAAGGTGAAAAACTAATGGTACTTGACTTGCTCAATGTCCCCCGGGGCACTACGCACGTCAGATGATAACGCTGAAGAAATGACAACGAACACCAAGTGCAGTGAGTGCAGAGTACGTTTAACAAACCGCGCCTGTCCGTAAAATAGTTTTGTATCCCCCTTTACAACCGGTAAAAGCGGGTTATAACGAACAGGGGAAAGCTCGATTTGTTTTCCCCTTGCAGCAGACCTCCAGACTGCGCTGATGGGAACTGGTGGAAATTGTGGAACTAGGTAGGCGAGCGGGATGGAAAGGAGGGGGTGGAAACAACACAGCGGGTTCCAAGTTCCTCCTCTGCGTACCACCACCTCCTCCACCAGTACCCTCCATCTCTCTTTGCTAAATCTCTCTCACTCGCTCCTCCGTGCTTTCATCCCACTATGAGAATCAATACTGGAGCCTGATGAGAGCTATGTCGACGTCCGCGAGGGCGCGCAAGCGAGAAGTACACAGGGCATTACATGAGACGAGGTGTTTTATTTTCCTTTTTTTTCTCTCTTCTTTTTGATGCAACGTACATCGCATGTGCATCGCGCATATTGGGAGGCTCCCCCCCCCCCGTTACATTCGTGTATAGACGATTCTACGGAGGGGCTGGTAGTCAATGCAAAAGAAACACTTGAAGAATATAGGGGGGTATAGGGTGTTTCGTTATCTATGCAGTAACAAGCAAGGACGTTATGCCCTGCGTACTCCATCGGCAATGCCATCCTCCTTTTTTCCCACCTATTTGCAGTGCAGGGGCGCCTGCTATACCTTTGGACGATGCATTTTTCACTGCAACACTCATCTTTTTCGTACTTTTTATTCCTCTTTTAGGCTCGGGAAATGTGCAATTGCTGGGGACGACCCCGACTATTAGCTGAGATATGCGTTTGCGCATGTACCTGTTGGCAGCCCAAGTTTTGCACCCTCTTTTTATGCGCCACTCGACTCAGAACAATCTTTTGTATTTGTAAAGCATAACAGAGCAAAACGGGTCATAGTATTTCGCGTTTTTTCTTTATTATTCGGCCTCTGTTTGATTTCCTCTTCCTAATTTTAGGGATTTATTATAGGGTTTAGGTTTTTATGTTTGTTTTGTTTTCGTGCATTAGAATCCCTTGAGAGTTGCTCGCCTGGGGCCAGTAAAGTTTAAATGGCAGGAAAAAAGTACTGAGGGGTAAATAAAAGAGGATTGGCATACAGGAGGATACGAGGGGCGAGAGAGAAGGGTGAGGGGTTTAAGTACGGGATTCTTAGTTCACTCTGATATAAAACTCGGTGCAGGGTCAGTAGGTTATCGATATTTGTCCTTGCCTCAGTTGTAAAAATAGAGTCACGGGGCCGGGACAACTGCCTCCGGTGGATTACGGTTGTTTAGAATTTTTTTTTATAAAATATATTCACTGTAAGCTCAAAATGATATTGAATTTGAAACTGTTAACTGGCTGGGAATTGGGCAGATGGGAAATCAAAAGCAATTTGATATTCGTCTGATGGTTGGAGATATAATTCATACGGTTGAGGGATTCGTGTCCCACCATTGCCGGCAGATTTGACGTTACGTAATGCTACTTTGAGTTGAAATGGGATAGTTCAAAGACTGCGAGTGAAAAACTCGCCAGAGAGACTTGAGTGTAATGCACTTCTTTTAAAATATATTCCCAACACTTTTTCTCCACTTTTTTCCCCTGCACTAAAGCACTAAATCTGTCCCAGAGGAATGAAATCTCAGGGAGGAACATTAGTAATGGAAATAAAATTGAAAATTATTCAAATGCAAAGGGAATATTGAAATTTTCACCTCGGCAACTTCAAGGGGATCATTCGGGCAACAACGATTCAATCATCGTCAAGTTATGCCACATGAGAGTTATCAAAATGGAATCTCTCTAACCAGATACTGTATAGCATGTCTTACTGTTGATAAGGTCAATGGCCCACTCGATATGCTAACTCACCTCTGACGAAGTCAAGTAGCACAGCCTTGAGTCAGTACTCTCCAGTGATGCTTGTTGCACTATACCGTATCTGCCTTCTCTATCGGACATGTAATCCGACCGCACACTGTCCTGTCTATCAAATGTTCCGCTGGAAAGAAGAAAAGAAGAAGAAAAATTGTTTGTTGGTTAAAGTAATTTTGCATCCAATTACCCAAAGTGCATGCTCAACTCTATTTCAGAATTGTTTTTTTTTAACAACTCAACTCTCTCCGAGACTTCAACATGAAACTAATTAATAAAACTAGTTTGAAGATTTCGAGTCTGTGGAAAAGTTTAGACCCTCTTCGCCCCAATTCTACTCTCTATGCCCATAAGCCCCTATTATTGACAGATGTCCAATATATTTTTATGAGTTTAAGAAACTTCGAAGTGAGTTTCTTTCTTACTCGTTTCAAAGCCCAAAAAAGTCGCTCAACTCACCGATGCTCCAGGGAGTCTGTTCTGTTGGACCTGTAACCACTGTCGTTGAGACTTCCCTCGTGACGCAGCGATGGTAGAGAATCCCAGGGGGAGTCTCGCCTGTGTCCACCGTAGCCAGGGTTTATGGAATTGGATTGGACTGAGCCCAGTGCGGAGCTGCCTGATTGCCATCCGTCCGAGTGGCGAAACCATTGGGCCCTGGCTGAACTTCCAATGCAGCTGGCACAACTGTGTCAACACATTTATTTCATTATCTATTGCTTCTTTAAAATAATATCAATGGTGTACGTCTGACGAAATCTAAGAGGAAATCGTAGTGCGAGACTCAAACGAGACTTTACTTTGAAGGGATCGCCTCGTCCTTGGTGAAAACGGGAACTTTTGGTCTCGCCACAGTCTCAAAAGAGGCAGTATCGGCTCTTCTCGTGATGACTCACAGTCAATTTATCTCATCTCGGTCTCAAGTTTCTTGTGCTCCTTCACTGCAAAGTCTCGGTCGTCTCGGCTCGGCCTTTTACACATAAAAAACGCAAAAAACTTAAAACCGAAATGAGATAAATTGACTGTGAGGCATCACGAAAAGAGCCGATACGGCCTCTTTTGAGACTGTGATGATACCAAAAGTTTCCGTCTTCACTAAGACCAAGACGATCCCTCCAAAGTAAAGTCTCATTTGAGTTTCGCGGACAGCTCTACGTAGTGTATTCACTAAGGGGACGGGGGTGGTTTGAACATGAACGGGGACTTCTGAACGTGAAAGTCCTAAATCACTGAACGGACCCATCGAGCGATTTTTGATACATGATGAGACATCGGAAAAGTAGCAAAATGTTGTTCTTCATGTTGAGATCCAAGTTCAGAGTTTTCAACTTAAAAACGCTCCTCGCACCGCAATTTTCATCCGATTGGAGCTTTTTTTGGTATTCGTTAAACGCGGAAAAACATCGAGTATTCGTTCTTTTAAAGCTTAGATAGATTATGAGCAAATTTTTGGTTTTCATCACGTTTAAAAAATGATTGTGGATTGAGATGGCACGTAAGGGGTGTTCAAGACACAAATGAGAGGTTGATGAAAAATGAATTTGTGTTTTTTAGTCATTATGAGAAAAACAAGCAAAGATTAATTCTGAAAAAATAATTTTTTCGTATTCTAGTCAATATTAAAAAAAATTGATACCGGTTTTATTCTTTCAAGTCTAGAGAACATTAAAAAATAGTATTTTTCGATACAGTGACGACGCATATTTTTTGTTACGACATTCGTGAGCGGCTTTTTGCACGCGCGGCGTGCGTGAAACGAGGCTTTACGAATTGAGTGCCAAAAAAAAAGTTTAAATCGGTGAAAAATTGTGGAAAACCAAGGACTTTCAAGTTTTATTGAGGTCCTTCCTTCAAGGAATTCACTTGGAAATTGCAGTTTTTCTGGGCGATTCTCTAGATATAAATCACATCTCCCAGAAAAAAAACGAAAAGTCTGATCATTTTGTACAATTCTGATGTTTTCGCCATGAAGTTTCTGCCGAGAAATTCCATGGAAAAGTCTAGATGTTTTCAAATCAGATGTCGATCTGTTAGATTTTTCGAACAGAATTTCCTACAAAATGGACTGCGATGTCCTCTTGGTTTTATTCAAACATTAAAAAATTCATGATAAAATGTGCAACACTTACTTTGCGTCATACTTGGAGTTATAATCACTGAGATATCCACGTTCCCTCTCAGCCTCGCGATCCCTCTTCTCTCTTATAATTTCATTTCTATCGCTGTAATAACCATCCCGATCCTTGCTGTTCTGTCTCTCATTGCAATAACGATAAGACAGTGGTAATGTCGATGATTTATTAGAATTTGAGCCTATATTGCACGAAAAATTTCCATCATCATTAGTATTAATGACTTGTATCTCTTCATCTTCATTTTTAAAATCAAACAATACAGTCTTTTGAAAACGTCCAACTAGTTTCCAAGCGTCACGCGATGGCGACTCGAATGACAAGTACCAAGAGGCGATACTTTGTCGACGACGAAAGCTCATTATCGGTGGTTAAACTAATTACCACCTCGTCTATGATAAATATTGTACAGGATTGGAAGAATAATGGTTTTTTAATATACTCACGCCTGCGCGATGCATGCGGTGTGCGTTGTACATTAAGTGGGATGTTCTCGGCAAATTCTGCAAGTAATTAATCGATCCAGTTTATTATTAAGCGAAGGTTTTCTTTATTAGTACGAAAATTATAAATGCTAAAAAGTAGCGGCTGAAGGTGACAAGCCCTTTCCATCAAAAATCATAAATGTCATGAGATAATCACCCAAGTTCTCCATACTCTGGGTAAGCAGTGCCTCAAAAGTATGAAGACTGTAACTCTCAGCATCCATTCCCTTGGCCAATGTATTCCTGAGATGCATCTCATACTCCAGAAGCAAACGACTCGATGGACTGCCAGGTGTTGAGGCCGACTGCATGTTCTGCTGGTGATGATGCTGCTGTTGCTGATGATGATGATGATAAGGTTGGCCCGAATTGTAACGACGACTGTTGCAGTGATTCGGCTGTTCCATATCTGAATTGCCATTTGATGAGCTTGGCGTTGTAGCATAGCACTGATTGTCGAAGATAACGTTGTCTGACGGTGGGGAAATATCACCTGCGCACCGATTACGTTCCAAATCTAAGTACATCCTGCCTCTGCCGCCTAAGACAGAGCAGATGATTGCTACGTGCAAATACATGAAGAGAGAATTGGTGCAACGGGTTGTGGTGATGAATGAAGAGGCTCTACACTTGTTTCTAATGATCGCATGAATTATGGATTTGTGAATAATGATGATGGGACAAATTTTCGTGAAGGTTACTAGACTATGCATTCATGCTAATGAGTCATCAAACTTCTAAAGCTGTTAGGCAAGCAAAATAATTGAACAAACAGGATGAAAATCACGGCAATTATACCAGTATAGTGGCGTCCCATATCGTGAACACTCCGTGACCCCTGGAACTTGTTGTTGTAGGGACTTCTGTATGGGTGAGCATAATTCTCATTCTCCGCTTCAGAGGGTATATACTTCTGATTGTTGTTATTGGGGTGATAATGATAGGGATGATGACTGTGACGTTTTCTCGTCATCTCTGGTGATGTTGCTGGACTATCGATACTTGACATTGGTTTGAGCATACGTTTCAGTGTATTTGGATCAAGGCTTATACCACCATTCTGAGCATTCTCGATTCTCATGTCGTCTGTACTCTTACTCTTAGATTTTCTACTGTGATTGTTATTGACAATGTTGAAGATATTACCATTTTGCATTTCTAGCTCGGTATAATCGGCTGATTTAGTGTGATGAAGTTGCTCTTTGCGATGGGACTTACTGCTGTGGAGGGTGCCACCTGCCTGGGTGCCCTCGGATTTTAGGCTTTCACCACCATTCTGGGTGGCACTGTCCTGACGTTTTATTCCCTTTTGGGGGGAAATCGAGGTGCCTTTGTCGTCTGGACTGTCGATCTGCGGATCAATTAGGGGTTTAGTAGTTTCAATCGTTGGTGGGAGATTCATTTAAATTGTGGTGATTGTTTACGACCGATAATAATGTACCTGGGAACCCACCGTTGCTGTGCCAATGCCGATGTTGGCGGTTTTTGGTGTTGTTTGACAAGTTTCATTCTGCTTGTCTTTGCCAATGTGTTTGCATGAGTCACCAGATTTCGATGCTTTGCCCGGTGTATCACCGGTATTATTGACATTATCGTAAAGCGATGCACTCGATGTTGCTGGTGCTATCTTGTCACGTCCAGGCGTCATCTCCATTTCTGAGGTGCGGTTCATGGTTCTAGGTAGTGTTGATGCGCCTGCGCATAGTTTATCATTAATTAATTGTCAATAAATAAACGACCCAAAAAATTATTCAATGAAAATATCGTGGAGGTGGGTTTTTTGTGGGATTTTTTTTTGGCGGGGAGAATGAGTTTGCATTCATTTACATCGCTTTGTGCTGGTGTTTTCCCGGTACAGGGTCACCTGTTTTTTTTTAATTTGGCATTCCGATCATTGTGATTGAATTGTATGGCTGGGGAATAATTGTTGGGACAAGTTTTTCAATCAATCAAGGGATTTTCATTGATTTTTTTCACTGATTCAGGTTTTTGGTTCAAAATTCATGAAAATTCGATTTGTAGGGGAATTTATGATAAAGTGGAATTTCATTTTCAAAGGGCATTGGATAGGATAATTTCGTTAGAATTTTGTTATCCATCGAAGCCATGGAGATATTGAAATTGCTTTTTGGACTATAAATACTAAAAAACCATAAATTATTAGGGGTTGTTGTAAGCTCTGGGATTAATTCAGAAGTTTCTAGAAATTTCAAGAAAGTTTCAGAACCATTTGCGATACGCTAGAAAAAATGATCGAAACTTGGAAAATTGGAGAGTTTCTAAACAATTCGCGAAGTTCCCAGAAGATTCTGAAGCGCTTTATAACTTTCCAGAACGTTTCATCATTTCCTGGCCAAATGGACATCTCAAATTATATGAAGTATGATTACTTGTAATTCAATGAAAATCTGACAAAGACTTGGGTGGATTTCTAAGGATCCTTTATTGGGAATTTCAAAAGAAAATTATTGACTGTATTAAAATATTTTTTTCGTATTCTATTCAGTAATAAAAAAAAATAAATACCCAATTTTATGTTTTCGAGTCTAGACAACATTAAGCACTAGATTGGTCACCATATGAGGGAAACCCCCCCACGTGTCGGTTTTCTTTAATTACAATTGACTGGCTAATGGGAAAAATTCAAAAAAATTTGACTTTGTCAATTGAAGTGTCTAAAGAATTATAGTAGTTTTTAGAATAACATGTTTCCCGAAATTCCTAAAAAAAAGACAAATTATTGCGAACAGATGAATTATTTTTTCCCATGTTAAATGAAACAGTCCGCTATACGACGTTGCCAGGAACTCGCTAAACCTGCCCGGGCAGTGTCGTGTGAATTCGGCAACGCTCGACCCTAAATAACACGGCGGGGAATCCCCGCGGAGGTGACCAGAGTCGGAGGGTCGCGTTTGGTAATCAGACTAAGATTAAAAAGAAGAGTTTAATTGGTAAAATCGGTGGAAAATTGTGAAAAACCAAGGACTTTCAAGTTTCAGTGCGGTACTCTCTCAAGGAATTCAGTTGGAATTTGCAGTTTTTCTGGGCGATTCACTAGATATAAATCATATCTTCCAGAAAGAAATCACAAACTCTTTGATCATTTTTACAATTGTAATGTTTGCTGTATAAAGTTTCTGCCGAGAAATTCCATGTAAAAGTATTAATGTTTCCAAATCGCATGCCCATTTCTTAGATTTTTCAAATAGAATATTAAAAAAATTTCTTTTTAATTTTATTTATTTATTTAGATGCACGTTTTATTAAACGAAAAACGGGCATCTAAAATTATATGAAGTACAATTACTTGCAATTCAATGAAAATCTGAAAAAGGCCTGGGCGGATTTCTAAGGATCCTCTAAACTGTTAGAAAAAAAAATGAAATTTCATGGACAGTTGACTACCAATTTTCAGGGCATAAAGACGAGAATTCCTTAATTCATTTGAATTTCCAATCTAATATGAATATTCAGTGTCAAATTCCATTACAAAATTTCATGATTTTTCCCCCTACATCGTATTTAGGGTCACTGTCCTGAAAATTCAAGAATATATTTACCAGAATTTTCTGGTTTTCTATTCATTGTCAGGGACAAATGGAACATAAATTTACAGTTCTGTTTGATTTTTCCACGAAATTCTGAATTTTCAATGACAAGATTTCCTGAAATTACAGTGAAAAATCAAAAATTTTTATCAGTGTATTGGGATTTTAATTTTCAAAGAAAAGTATTAACTATATTGGATATTTCTCCGTGTACGAAAGAACAACTTCGATACATATCTGTGATATTTGTGCATCTAGGTGAAAATGAATTTGAAAACCCGTGAAGTTTTCGTTGAACAAAGAAGACTATTATTGATAGAAACTCTGAGAGATGTTTGGAATTCATATAAAAACACGGAAATGACGCTTGGATTCTGCAAATCCCACATTTTCGTACGGACGTGGGTATTTTTCAGGGAGAGTAATGGCAAAGTGAGATGGTACATTGAACGCGATCACGAAAATGGTACAGTAGGAATTATGACTGCTGGAGGAAAAATGGAGCTCTGGGTTTTATTTGAGACTTAGCGAATGTAGATCATTCCCGTAACACCATTTTTGAGAAATCAATGTGGATTTGGTTGGAGGTACACGTCACACATTCAAACTTGAGTTAACGGGCACAAACACAATGAGTGAGAATTGCTCCATGACAATGGGTAATTACTTTTTCGAGATCGGCTGTCAAAACTGGAGGGTTTCCTCGGGATATTTTGAATGAAACTTTGTGATGACGTGCTCATTGAATATGCCGTGATCAATTTAGAATGAAACAATACATTCAATTAATCACGATCAAACGGAACTGACCTCGCTGTGTCAATCCTGTTCATCCTTTTTTTACATTGAATTGATAGACTAATTTTTCAAGCACTGACCTAAGAATATTTCCAGTGCAATCTTTCTACGATAGTTTCCAGTAATGGAGTGATGAAACGTAACTCGATTTATCGCATGTAAATTCACTGATTATTTAGATAATGCACAGATTCAGAAGAACAAGTCAACTGATTTCTTTCTGGCCAGGAACCTTCTTAAGGATATTGGAGCTTCTTTTTTCGTTTAGATTCAAACGTGTTCAATCATTAAATTTGTCAATTAAATTGCGTGCAAAAAATTCAGTAGCGAAGCGCTAAAACGGTTCAAGTCGACTTAGCTCACTAAGGGAGATAACGAAATTTTTTCAACATTTTTTGTAGAGCGAATTGGGGGCAACAAAAAAGGTTATGACAAAAATCTCAGTATCTCCGCTAGATTTAGAGATATTCATTGAAAACTGGCTAACAGTTAAAATCTACTTAAACCGTTTTACCGCTTCGCTACTGTAAAAAATTTAAAAAAAAATCATGAATATTCAATGTCATTCAAATTACATTTTCCACAGAATTATGATTTTTTTTAACATTCGTTGTTTATAACTAAATAATTGAAATTGTTTAAAGAAAGTGCTCGTAGTTTTCAAAAATTTCAATTTTTAAATTATTTCAACACTTTTTCTCTAAAAGTAAACTTTGTAATTTTTTTTTTCAGATTTTTGAAATGTTTTCTATCGGTTCAATACCAAGATTCAAATTCAGACCTGTAAAGTTTAAATAATAAAATCATTGTAAAACGTCCGGAAACTTAGACCCCAATGTGGCTCAAATAAAAGCTCTGATGTTCGGTTACAAAAGTAGAAGAGCATTTCGCTGGAGAAAAAATGGCCAAAGTACTTGGATATCCTTAACTACAAAAAACAAAGTCTCCTAACATATTTTCCTACACAAAAAATTCCCTTCAAATTTACTGGACGCGTATGAACCGGGTAATATTGGCAACAACGAGAGAATGTGAAAGAATTTGAAAGGCAAAAAACGGTGTTTTTATGAACTCTTCAAGCAGAGGAGTAATTTCGGTGCAGAAAAAAATACCAGAAAAATTACCGCACTCACATCGTAAACCGGGTTCAAATGGCTCTGCGGGGCGAAATTTATCACGAAGAGTAGGAAACACTACTGTCCTCTCAGGATTTTTTCCGCCAGACTAATTTAACTTTTCACGAACATCTCAGCAAAATTTCTCATACAACACGATAAAATGAAGGGGACTCTGGCTTTTCACATAAAATCTATGAAATATTACCGCTGTCATAGAAAATATTCTGTTCATACGAAATTTTTTACCAGATTGGCAATGAATTTTCACGGGATTTTTACTGAATTTAGACTGTGTTACCACCAGATTTTATCCAGTGCTGAGAGATTGAATCCACTTTACTAAAAGGGACTATAATTTTTCTCTGGATTTGAAGGCAAAAAATCTCGTATTTTGTTGTCCGAGTAGTGCTTTCGCCCTCGATCTTTGCTTATATCCAGTATTTTTTTTATTCAGCCTAATATCTCCCGATTCACATTATTTCATCGATAATTTTCGGTATTCTCTTTCCTCTAGGCAAATTTACTCATCAAGAACAGAAGTTTTTTTATAAAAACAATTGCCTTCATCATTATGATAATATACATATTTTTGCTAATAAATGAGCATAATAATTAATTCCATCTTATTATATTCGAATTAAATTATATTTATTCTTTAATCAGTCGTGTTTGATTTTTAACTCATTTACAGTTACTACAGAAAACGGTATTGAAAAAACTTTTTTCCATGTATAATAGAATATAATATAAAAAGGAAAACTGCAAAAACCATTGCATGAATCGAACCAACAAATATAGATATCGTTATCATCTGCAAAATCAGACAAAGTGGTATTGCACTGAATATTTCAAGCTACGATTGAATCAATTTGAAATTGATTCAATGGTAACTTAAAATAAAAAACATTCAAAAATATTACCGGAAAACCGATTGTTTAAATGAAATTTTCGAAAATTATTCTCTGAAAAGGAACAGAAAATATTCCTATCACCTTCATCTTCGAATTCAGTCAAAAGAACATTCAAACAATTTTTTTCACCCCCATTGAATGAATTTAACATTGTTTTCAGTCATCGTCAGACAACAGATTAAGAAAAAGAAAAAAAAATTCAAAAAATTACTCTATGAATTGAATTTCACTTAATGTCAATGGATTCAAGGTTCAAGGATACTTACATTTGAAAAATAATATTAAATTCGATAGATTCATTAGCGAACATTTAACCGAAAACTTTATCACACACACACATACATACGGATAGGATCTAAAAATCGAGTTTTCGGACTTTTAGGATCATAATGGATCAATATAACGCGATAAATCCAAAACTTGAAATTTAACGATTACCAAGCTTTCATTCGGAAGCAAAAAAGTCCGTTATGCAACTTATTTCAATTCACCACTCCACCACTCACTTATGGAATAGAATATCAATAAATGTAAAGGATATCCTACCATGGGATATAAATCTTTGATCTCGAGTGCGAAGCCTAGCAAATTGCTCCGGTGGCATACAAGTGCACTGTGGTGCTTTAGATCTACTCGGTGATGCTGGTGTTGACAGTGGCTTTATACGTGGTTTGACCTTTTGCTTATTGGGTGGTTCGCTCGGTAGCTTGAGGGAGTAAGATGAGGTCGCTTTCCTCGGTGTCTTGGTTGAGGGTGACTGGTGAACAAAATGCCAAAGATAAAATGCCAATCATTGAACCTTTATGAATGTCAATGAATATACGTCACTTACACAGCAGTCTTTGAACTGTTTAGCATCAATGGGTGATGTAAAGTTGAGACCCCACGTGTCATTGGTCATCGTGTCCTTCCAGTAGATGAAGCACTCCGATGCCTGGCCAATTCTTGTACCTTTAAATGAAGAAAAGGATCAGAAAATTCATCACATTTTTCCGGGACTTAACTGGAAACACGTCTTATCGTTAATTAATCCAATTAATTTCTATACAATAAAAGTTTTAGCTAAAGTGAATGGATCGCCTCGAATTGCCACCGGGAAATTTACTGAAATACCATGAATAATGTAAATGAAAATCCGCTATATATTATAAATAATGCAATCTAAATTGAAATACATTATTCATTGGATTTAGCTTCTAACTTCGTTCTCCGAGTAATCAGAATGGATATCCCAAACTGGTGGAATATTCCACTGAAAATGAAAAAAAATCCATCATAGTCACATTGAAAAATCCATTTCTTTCAAACAAGAAGGCAAAGAAATGAAATTTCCTATTTCAGTTGAATGCTTCATTACGTTCTATTCAACCAAACATTTTTTCCTTCCCCCTTTACTCAAATAAATGATACTTCCAGATGCACAGAATAGTTCTTGAATGAAATGAAATTCATTTACCTGGCTGCACCAGTCGTACATCCAGAATTTTATCAACCTGGCTATTGTAGGCGGTGATATGGAAGACCAATTCAGGTGAATCCTGGAGACAACGTATGTTGACAGGGACAAGATCCTCGGAGACTTGTTGCCACTTGACAGTACCAGTACCACTGGCACTCACATGAAAAACTTCAGCCCATAGTCTAAAAATACTCATTATTATGTCATCATTGGTATCAACAACAATTGAATCAAATTGATACAAATGATCATATTGCGTGAATGTGCAATGAGAAATGGAGAATGGAGAGTGCCATGCTGAAAGCATCAGCATTTAGTTGATTCTATAAATAACTAATGCTACCAACTATTCGGCCAAAAGCGGTGAGTGTAGGGCTGTAAAGAAAAGCACGAGGAAGCGTGTGAAAACATCTGTACTCGCAGAATCTTCCTCTCCCTCTCTCTTTTTTTTTTCACTGTTTGAGGACGTTTTTTTCCGAGTGAACGAGCACATGCGTAAAACAATGGGGCAAGCAAAACCGGGAAAAATGATAAAGAATATATAGGCGCATGAGAGCAAATGGCAGTGAGTGTTATTTTTTACTTTTTCCTCTTCTTTTAAAAAATGCAAGAGTATCTTTGATATCAAAGGATTACTCGAAAAAATCTTTCAGCATCCAGTTGAAAATTCTCGTCAACTCAATGGTTTCAGGTAAAAGAAAAAAGACGTAGAGTACATGGAAATCCATAGTCGGATACATACGTATACTTTATCTCAATTGGCGTACAACAAAGTCATAGAGAGCATGTGGAAGTGGATAAAATGAAGAAATACACAGAGATACACGTGGACATGGGGCGACAGAGATATTGTTATCACTCTGACAGACAAAAATAATTTTATCAAGAGAAATTTAGTTGAATCAACTATTATTTGGTTGTTAATTTTCAAATAAACATGATTTCATAGTGAATATCAGTTATCTCTTCTTGAGATACATTTGATTGGGAGAAATCGAACTTCTCTAGAATTGAAGTTCCTTTTGTTTGTCGCAATAATGAGAGTTTTTGATTTCCTTATAACCAAAAATTTTCTAACTCCAGAAATTCGTTGGTTTACTCAAAAATCAAAATTCAGTAGCGAAGTGGTAAACCGGCTTAAGTCGACTTATCTCCTAGTTGAGTTTTTGAAGAATACTTTCGAATCTAATGGAGATAGCGAAATTTTCATAATTACATTTGTTGTAGCTCTCAATCGGCTCTACAAAAAAGATCTTATCAAAAATTTTCTCCCTTAGATTCCGAGATATTCATTGAAAACTGGTCAACACTCAAAATTGACTTGTACCGTTTTACCACTTCGCTACTGAATTATTCTCATGACTAAATACGTTATCTCAATCGACACGATCATACGTTGTTCCAAGTAAATTATAATTGAAGTGAGCATTTCGTATGTCGAATCAGAATGATTATTGTTACGCGGAAAAAACTTTGAGATTGTAGTAAGATGTCGTTGAGTTGAAGGAAGTTTGTATTTATTAACTAAAGAATGGCATTAGTTTGCAATAACAGAATCACAAATTAAGGCAATTCTACACAAATTTGGATATCACAAATTTCGTTCAATGTGATGTACGGAAAGCTCAATTTAAACATCGGCTTCATTGGAGAAAACAACATTCAATTGATTCCTCAATGTAATCAACTCCTAGGTACGAATGTTTGATTAATAATTAGCGAAGCGGTAAACCGGTTCAAGTCGACTTAGCTCTTCGCTGAGTTTTCCAGGAATATCTCCGAATCGAAGAAAAATGACGGAATTTTCATCATAACCTTTTTATTAGCTCTCAATTCGCTCTACAAAAAAGGTTATTACAAAAAAATGGCTATCTCCCTTAGGTTCCGACATATTCATTAAAAACTGACCATTAGTCGAAATTAACTTAAACCGGTTTACCGCTTCGCTACTGAATTCATGAAAGTAGAAAATTTCTCGACTGGAGATTATATTGGATTAAAAACAAATAGAACTTTTCCATTTTTGTGGTGAATACATGTGACTTGACGCCAAGGAGTGCTTTATTTGATTCAAGTAAATGTATCTCAAGAAGAAATAGTTGATATTCACCGTAAGATCTTATTTATGTGAAATTGGTTCAAGTATATAATACTTGCTCCAAGAAAACAACATCTCAATAAAAATGATTTTTTCTACCAATGCAGTTGATCGGTTTATGAAATTATTTTATCAGTTTGACAGTAGAAGTTAGAGGTGGGCAAGGGGGTAAAGAATAACTCTAGAGTGTATGATAAAATGAAATGGCTGAATGGCAATGGTTTTGCGCACCTCTTCTTCTCTATTCCGCACCTGAGCAAAGGGCCCGAGTCACTCCTGTGACTACCACCGCCCACTCCACCCCTTCCGCCAGTCTGCCATGGTGAATCCTCGTCCCGATAGCCCCTTTTCGATAGTGGTGCACAACTGCAGGCTGAGAGCTTATTGCCCATGTTTTTTACTCCTCACTCCTTATTTAAATAATTACTTTTTTGGCTGCTGAACGTGCAATTGAGTTTTCGTTGAATTTTCAACGTTATTTTGTTGACTTATTTCGTCCTCTACATCAGTCTACTTTCATCTCTGCGATATTTTCCTTCTCCCTAAATCTCTTTATCTTTTTATCTCTCTCTCTCACTCTCTTTGACACAATTTTTTGGCCCAGTTATTTCTTTGGTCTGTTATTTCTTGGCTTTTTTTACTTTGGCACTGACTTGAGAAGTGTACTTGAATTGTTTTATTTATTTTTGTGATTTTCTTACTCGTTCTTTTTCGTCGTTTAAAATTCTTCTTCTTTTCTTAAGGAAGCACTGGAATAGCATAGAGGAGAATTCAATTATGATTCTCCAATCATAGAGTATAGAGGGGAGGTATCCATTATTGTCACATCATTGCTGGCGACTGGTGGTTATCAGCTCCTCCATGGTATCATCACTGTGGACACACCATTTTCGGAAAATCAGGTCAAACAGTGTCAAAAGTTCATTAAGGTTTAGCCATTAATCAATCGACTCAATTCATCATTCTATACTATGAATTTAATACGATATTTATCAGAATTTCAATGAATCCTGATAGATATCATTCTCTCCCGGAATTATTGGAAAATTAAATTAGTCCATTATCTGGGAGGAGGTGAATGATTGATTGTGGCTGCAAGGAGCATGGAATTCTTTGAGGGGGACTGAGTGAAGGAGGCAAGTCGAGTGGACAGCCGTGTTATTTTTTTTTCCCAGGTTTGCCAGAGGCTACGGTCAATGAAGGCCCGTAGTAGTAACGCCCAGTAGTATACAGCCCACCTACTCACCCCTCACAGTGAACATACATAAAAAAAATCCACTTCCCACAGAAAGCCATACCTCGAATTAGAAAAAAATGTCTGACCTACATTTCCCCATTTTTGTCCCCCGCACCGCAGATTTTCATGTCGGAAATGCCAGTGGAAAATCCATCGATAGTTCAGACACCAAACTCAAACTATTCCAATAAATCTTGGAAAATATATTAGTACGCGTGAATGAGAGTCAGGGAAGAGGAAGTGGAAGAAGAGGAGAGGTGAAAGATCAGAGAAATGAGAGAGTCAGAGGCAATGAGGAAATTGATAGAGAAAGAAAAATTCAGTGGGATAAAAAAGATCATGAAATGACAATGGCCATGGCGCTGGTGATAATGAGACTTTGAGCGGAAGCGAATCAGTCGGTGCCAGACACTTAGGTATATTTACAACGGATACTTCAATCAAGGAATATCATTTCCGAAGCCCTCTCGGTGTGATCGAGTGAAATTGCATCCCCAATGGTAGATTCGACCAATACCGCCATTGCTATCGTGTATGTGAATCCTTACAACTCCACATCGCGACTTTACCTTGGACTGAACGTGACATTCTAATCGAAAAAAAGAATTTCGAATGATGGCATTGAAGTAAATAACAGCACAGCAAAAACTAATGTCTGAATTTCGCGCACCTTTTGTACACATTTTTCAGACAATAAAAAAAGTTTGAATAAAATGAAGAATTGTCTAAATTTCAGACATGAATTAAGATGTTTAGGCACCTGTTCGCCTGAAATTCGGACAAATTTTCATTTTATTCAGACGTTTTTTAGTGTCTGAAAAATGTTTACAAAAGATGGGTAAAACTCAGACATTCGTTTTTGCTGTGAAGTTCGTCGATTTTCCATTTTAACAATCAAATTCAATATTTTTGGACTCTGTGCAGAATATTAAATGAAGATTGCTATTTCATACTCATTTGACTATCAAAGAGTTTCCTGAATTTATCATACAGTTATCTAGTGCAAGCAAACAGAACGAGCCTTCATGACGTTGAAAATTTACATGTCATTATCTCCTCATATTTCTCGGATAAAAGGGATGGATTTAATTGGATGGATGTTATTTCAGCCGGAATATAGGGGCTACCGGAATTCCCCTATCTCTGAAAATTACATGTTTCATGAATCACCGACATTGTGTTACCAGAATTGAATAGAGAATTTCTCCACAGTGTGTAATATTTATTCTATAAATCTTCCACCTCTACCAAGAATAAATCCCAATGAATATTCATTGAACATTATTGCCTACTAAATTTCACAGCAATGTACAGCCTTGATTGAACAGCTACCCCTGAATTTCATTGCAAAAATACCCTCTGTAACATTCTGTGAGCCTTTGCCGCTGCGTCCCATGGACAAAAAAAAGTCCAACTAAAATAAACAAGTTCGAAGCCAGGATACAGTCAGGACTCTCGCACACGTACGTTATACACAATCTATACAAATGCGGTTGAGGGAGTGGAAGTGGGGTGGGGCACCTCTCTCGTGCACATACGGGGTTTATGTACGTCTAGTTGTGCGGTGGTGTTATATCCCCTTTTTCCCACCCAGGTGGTGTGGGGCGAGGCTGTGTATACCCTCCCCTCGGTAGAGGGCACGAGCCCGAAAGCCTGCTACCACACACACACACACACACACAGTGTCAGAAAAAAAAATCATTTGGTTGGAATTCAGGTCGAAGTTGCAAGTCAAGACACAAAAATTGCCCCATTTTCCGCCCCTCCCCCAATCACATATGGAGGGATTAACCCTCGAGTACACTATTCCCAGCGGATAACAAACGCAGAATGGAGAACAAGTGGAGTGAATTTCATTCGCAAAATCCCAGGAGATGCACAAGCAGATGGATGTTGGCTGTAAATTAGCTGGGCCCTGGATGATACGCGTGGGTTAAACAAGCTTTCTAAACGCTATATCGATCCCCACCGATGCGTTCACCTGTCGCCCTCGTCCCTGTGAATAATTCATTCCGCCCTATTGCAATTAATCCCCCCTCCCCCCCCCCC